TTAGCTTTTAGCTAGTGTTCTACTTCTTTTAGCTTTTAGCTAGTGTTCTACTTCTTTTAACTTTTAGCTACTTTTCTGCTTATTTTAGCTTTTAGCTAGTGTTGTACTTCTTTTAGCTTTTAGCTAGTGTTCTACTTCTTTTAGCTTTTAGCTGCTTTTCTGCTTATTTTAGCTTTTAGCTAGTGTTCTACTTCTTTTAGCTTTTAGCTAGTGTTCTACTTCTTTTAGCTTTTAGCTAGTGTTCTACTTCTTTTAACTTTTAGCTACTTTTCTGCTTATTTTAGCTTTTAGCTAGTGTTGTACTTCTTTTAGCTTTTAGCTGCTTTTCTGCTTCTTTTAGCCTCAACAACTCACTTCCAGGTTTGTCAGCAAAGCATTCAACATCTCCTCTTCTTTTAAAGTTCAAACCGTTGAAGTTTGTTTACAAATAAACATTTTTCACAGCTGCTCTCTTGGCTCACATTGAAGCGATTGTTTGGCCRTCGTTGGTGGAGACCATTAGTAACTTTTGGGTAAATCCTTCTTTCAGCCCTCAGACGGCTGTGAAAAGGCAGTGTGTATGTCAGCATGTGTGTGTGTTCATGTTTACTGGAATGTCTGCAGGCCGGGCCTTTTATTAGCCTCATCCATACCACCACATTATRGGCTCCGGTAACCAGGCAACTGCAGGTCCTGCCTGGTTACCATGGCGAGTGCCCATTCAGTGACATCACTGGCCTGTTTGCCCCCCTCTCCTTCCTGGAATAGGCTCTATTTTTTAAGATGACCCCYTCTCTTTCAATCTCCTGAACCCCCTCAACACTCACATATTCCCGCGCTTCGTCCCTCTGTGTGGTGACTAAAGCAGAGAACGAGACGGATCAGTGGGAGGGGCTGAAGGAAAAGTTACTGTAAACTCAAGTCTGTGTGAGAAGGGTTTTAAAATAACTTCCACAGCAGAAACACAATTATTTTAATGAAAAAATATTTTGCAGGGGCTACCGTAAGAAAAACGAAGCACAGCAGTGGCTCCGTTAAAGTTACTCCAGAAACTTTCCTAGCATTTTTTTTTACTCTCATTAGGAAAATGGATGCAAATTAACCAACAAATCTACTTTTTGGGGGGTGTTAAAGCATTATTCAGAATAAGTTATTAAACAAACATCCTTAACTTTACTTTAAATTTGTTTGTTCTTCCCGTAAAATTAAATCTGATGAAACAATTCCAAAATTGTTGACTTTTTATTTAAGTTTGTCAACAATGTGATGGACACTGCAATTAATTTTAATAGTGGCCATCACAATAACCAATGTATAAAGGTGGGCACAGTTCCCCTAAAGCACTAATTGGGGAACTAATTTCCTGATTAGTGCTTTATGGCTTTTGCTAATTTTAAAATGTATTAATGGATTAGCATTTGCTAAATTTATAGGCTAAATTTAGAAGCACTAACTGAGGTCTATAAATGTTATTGATCAACGTTAATGTTAACAACTGACGGTGAAAACAGTCACTCATTTTGTTCATATGTGTGTCACTTATCCACTAGGTCAGTGGTTCCCAAACTTTTCAGCTTTTGACCCACAAAATAACAGCAGCAGAGACATGTGCCCCCAACTATTTTTGGATGATAAACATTTGTATCAGGTCAACAAAACATGGGCATTGTAAAAATATTTATTATACTACATTTATCCATTTTAAATACACTAACCTCACTCATTTGTAACAACTAAGGCAAAAATGTAATTAATTCAGAAAATCTTTTCAGGACCCCACCTTGATGTTTTGGGACCCCACTTTGGGTCCCGACCCCAACTTTGGGAAACACTGCACTAGGTGACAATATATTGACAATATATGAACCCAAATAAGGCTGTGGAATGATAGGCATTAAGAGAACAACATGTCAACATGACTCATGTTGTCTGTTAAAGAATGCTCATGAGTTGACTGGATTATTTTAGTGCTTTATATTTAGCTTTTGCTCAAACTTTTCAGCGCATTAGTGCTTAAGAATTAGGGGATCTAAATATGTGAGTATGATAAATAAATATATGAATATATAAATAAGTAAATATGTTTTAGGGCTAGTGGAACTAACTTTTAGATTAATGCTGCCCACCACTGATAACCAGTGTGCAATATTTGTTTAGTAACTCCTTAAATGTCAAATAGTGGTCTGTATGACTGCTTCTTTATTTAATTATATCTTGTAAATACTTTTTACCCATTTCTTTTGTTATCCTCTAAGGGAAAAATACACTGATTCTGATGCTTCTGACTCTGCTCCATCCTGTTATTTTTTATCAGCATCTAACAGCTGTCGTTTTCTACAATACTTTGTGTTAAAAAAGATATAAAAGTTCAAGAAAATCACAAATGCAGACCCATGGTTTAAATGTTTTTTTTCTTGTCCACACGTGGCCTATTCTTTGACTGTACACAGACTTTCTATTTCCAGTTTTTAAGAGGCCATATGACACGTTAAGGTTCTTAAGTCACCAGGCAAAACAAGTATAAGCTCTTGTAATCCAGTCACAGTTTTGAAATACTCACCAGCTAAAAAAAAGGGGGGTTTTGTTTTCTGCTGTCTCCTCACGTTAAAGGGTCAGTTTGTGACCTACTTCCCCTGATCAATATTTAATGGAGGTTCTGATGGAGAACATCTAGTGGCTGGACGATGGTCCCAGCTGCAGTTTGAAAGTTTTCACTGAAGAGAGGGAAGGAGAGGGAGGTGGGGGTCTGACACGAGGGGTGGGGGTTATTGTGAGCTGAGCAGCAGAACCCCACTCCAGCTGAATGGGCATTGTCATCTGGATTTCAATGGATAACCAAAATACTTTCTCCCGCCGCGGGGGTTGTTTTATGGATTCATTGTTGGACATGTTTTTGAGCTCCTGTCTTGGTCAGTTTTATAGTTTTAATAACACACTTCAACTAAAAATCAGACAATATATTCAGTTTAATCTTAATAAAATGAAACAATATTGCAACTTTCATACACATGAATAAAGAAACATTACATCAACATAGCAAAAACACACAGTTTATTCCAGGAATGTTTGAAAAGACGCACTGGATCTGCCTAATGTGGCCCATCCACTTTTACGCTGCAACAGAATCCAGTTCTTAGGGAAGCTAGAAACTTTCTAATCAGCCCACATCAACAAAATACCCTGTCTGAGATTTGTTAGGGAGTTAATAGGTGTGCAGTTTCCTTCCTCGGTCCAATTAATGGGCAGTTGTTGTCGACAAAAGCTCCACCAAGGAAGCCGGTGAATGTGTGGGAGCGCAGCCATTTACTGTACAACTTTATGCTGACAAAGCACATTAAGAAAAAACAAACACGGTGTAAAAGACTAATAAAAAGTGGAAAAACTAATAAATTTGAACATTTACAAAAGCAGGTACCTAACAAAGATACTCCTTTTTGTTGATAGTCTTTTTTTTAAATCTCCTGCAGACACAAAAAAGTGTAAATAAGTGGTCCGAGAATATTTAGGGACCTGTGTATAAAAAAATCAACAACAAAAAAAGAAAACAGCAGCGGTGGTTCCACTGATTTAAAGTTCAGATTTATAAAGGATTGGAGGTGCAAAAACATCGTCCTTGACAATAATAATATTTTTTTTAAAAATCTGTTTTTTTCAAAAGCCGCAGGTCACTTTTACGCACGGGAACGTGTTGGCTTGGCTACACGTAATTCCTTTTGTCATAGTCCCCGTTCTGCGTGGCTCTCTGGGTCGTTACGTATTGCGCRGAGTATCCAGAGTTCCCGCCGGAGGGACAGGAGCAGCACAGCAGCGTGCCTCCGATCAGCAGCAGCGCCGCGGCCGCCCAGCCGATGTAGAGCGCAGCGCCGATCTCCCGCTTCTGCGGCGCGGGCACCTGCGGGCTGTAGAAGTCCGCGATGATGTTGTTGGCCATCCAGCAGATGGGCACGAGCACGAACAGGCCGCTGACGATGTAGATGACGCCCCCGGCGTTCACCACGCGCGCTTTGATGTACTCGGTGCGGATGCAGTTGGTGCACTGCGCGCCGGCGATCACCACCATGAGCCCCAGCACCCCCATCACCGAGGAGATGACGGTGAGCGCGCGGGCCGCCTGCTGGTCGTGGGTCATCGCGAGGACCGAGTCGTGCACCTTGCACTGCATCTGGCCCGTGCTCTGCACCGCGCACGTCATCCACAAGCCTTCCCAGATGGTCTGCGCCACCACGATGTTGGCTTCGATGAAAGCCGTCACCTTCCACATGGGAAGCCCGCACGCGATCATCACCAGGAGCGAGCCGATCACGCACAAAGACAGTCCCAAGATCTCCAGTCCGGCCGACACCATTTTCCCGTCCTCCTCTTTCAGTCTGATCCGAACCTGTTGAAAATCTCTTGTTTCTCCTGAGAGTCTGAGCTGGAGRCCGTTTCGTGCCTTAAATCTGCTGCTTGGAGCGCATCAAGGCTTTTACTTTGAAAAATAAGACGGCAGGTCCGAGTCTCTTTGTCAGGGCGAGGAGGATGTGTGAAAACAACTGGAGTTTGCTCCGGGACCACGGATATCTGCGAGGCGGGGGTGTGAGGGCTGGAGGAGAAACTTTCGTCCAATCAGCTGCCGCCGCATCCTGAAGCGACCAATGAGAGCGCGGGGAAGTTGTGCGGCCGAATGAAGCGGTCCAGAGCGCATTGTGCGTTTGAACAGTTATTTACAATGAATAGAGGAGGGTGGGGGCTGAGGGGCTGAAGAAACTGTTGTTTTGTGAATTAAGACATTTTTTTGCTCATTTTTCAGACGTGCGCTGAATCACGTTGTCTGAGATAGACTGAAAGAATCGTGTGTTTGAGCAGATTGTTAAATAAAAAAAATCCTAAAAAACTAACGTTTAACGTGGCTGAAGGACTGGGTAAAAATTAAACAACTAATTAAATTGATTAAGAAGCCAGACTTTTTAGCTATTATTACTTTTTGTCTATGGTTTTACACGACCATAATGAAAATGAGTGCAATCTGCACCTTTAAAAATGTGTAAAAGAAAATATATTATAGCTGCATTGTCTTTGGTATTTTTCATATTTAATTTAAAGAGGAGAAATTGTAAATTTGTGACAAGGTATTTGAATTTGTCAGTTGCCTGAGGGGGTTGACACATCACTGATTCATATCTTGAATTGAAGAGTCTTATGTTTGAACGATTCATAGTTCAGTAACAAACAAACAAAACAAAAAATATTGCTGAAAATGAAGGAGAAAACCAGCTTAGAACTTTGGAAACAAAATATAGAAAAAAGATGGACTTTTGCGGAGACTGAAAAACTCTGTGACGTTGAAACAATAAGGCAAAAAAAAAGCCTATTTCAGAAGATGAAGTATTAGTTTTTAATGGTGCCTGAACTAAAAACCTCTTCAAACATGATATTTTATTTGCATTTTTTCATCAGCCAAACAGTGATGATGTCAAATTTTAAATCCTGTCTTCATCTTCTACAGAATAGACTAACTTCTCTTCTTTTTAAAGCTTTTCCCTCTGGTTTTTTGAGTTACTTGCCATCTCTCTGTTAGATTTTTGTCTGTTTAAGCTGATAAGTTTTAAATTGTTTGTATTTGCATTGTTTTATCTTTGTGGGAGTGTCAGAAATTTTAAGATTCCTCTTTGACCTTTCCTACCACATGTTAAACAACTTTTAGTTCGATTTTAAACAGATTTTTTTATTTTTTAAAGCAGCTATTTGTTATAAATAAAAAGAAATAACACAGAACAACAACAAGGCTATTATTTTTAATTAATGAAGGAGCAACGAATGCCTAAGACAGCCTACACAAATTTAAAAAAATCATTTGTTAGTTTGTTTACAAACTTTTAATAGAGTAAATAATTCATAGTATGCCAGACACATGTATTAGACACATTCAATTATTTGAAACAAACAAACAAACAAACAAACAAACAAACAAACAAACAAACAAACAAACAAACAAACAGAACGTCTATATATTAATTCATCTCCGCTGTAAGTTAATTTAAGAAACTGAAAATGATGGTGGCCATTTTGGATCTGCAGCTGAAGCCTCCTCTGGTCWGTCCACCTCTTTGTTGAGCCGAAATGACGTCAGTGACGCAGCGCGTTAGCCGGCTAGCGAGCTAGCTAGCAAGGGCGGACCTCTGGGAAGCGKTTTCCGTGTTTCCCTTCCTGGGCTGGGACAGTAGCAACAGAAAAGCAGCTCCGATTCATTAATAATATCTCAAAGTTACGTACAGGTAAGAGACTGCTCGACAGTTCAACGTTGCTTTAAGGTTTAATTTTATTTGGAGCATAATTTTTAAAAAAGAACATATTTTTGAGGGTTTTTCTCCGACTAACCGAGCTGGAAACTCGACACCACAGCAGAGGGCAGCCGCGGAAACAACTGTTGCATGCTAAAGTTTGGCATGTACCGTCAAACTAGTTTCTATTTGCGGTTTTATACCTGATTCCCGTTCATTAAACGTCGTTTTAAAGCAGAAATATTGCGACGTGTTCAATTAAAGCACCATACATGTAGAAACAAGTGTCATTTGCCCCAGAGTGGTGTTGAGGACTGGTGAGACTGGGTGTGGTGGACACCAAACTGTCACAGAGGCCCTCACAATAAAACGAACTGAAAACATCTCAGTAATCTTTAGTTATTTTTATTCTCCCTCACTGTTTGTCCTAAATGTTCAGACAAAACAAAAGCTTCTCATTATTTAAACTCTTAAAACATAAACAAAAGTTATAATTTTCTTTATTTTGGGTTCCTTTGAACCCACTATTGTCTCATTTTTTATATGCGTGTGCAAGGAAATATGTTCTCATACAAAAACTAAAATTTTAACAATGGACATTATTTAAAATTCTACATATTTTATCAATCTTATATACATATAAATAATTAGAAATTTCCTTTGCGCAACATCTGAACTCAGAAACTGCATTGCATTATTGCAGAAATTAATTGTGCTTTCAGACAACTTGACAATAAGAGTGGGAAACAATAACAAACTTTTATTGCGTGTCWGAGATGTGGCGGAGGGCCACTATTGAAAATAATCATCCATCTTGTTTCTGTTTTTGGCTCAGAGGCAACGAACGTATTCCACTTCTGTTCTTGCAGGTCGGTGAACACTGTGGCTGTAATCTTAAGGTGGCAGCTGGTCCTTACAGAAAACAATTTGTGTTTTTTATGCAACTCAACAGAGATAAATTTGATATCAGAGGAATGTTTCCTAAAGGACTTTTGATTCAGCTCTTTTTCAGTTTTCAGACCTTATCGCTGGAAAAAATGCCTGAACACCAGGAGACCCATCTGTCTGACCTGATAAATTACCAAGGGATGTTTCCTTTTGTTGTTAACAAAACAACAAAGCTTTGCTCCAACTGGTAGACTCAGTGGACCTGGAATTTTGTCTAAAAAAATTGCATTTTGATTTTACAGAATGGTATATCAAAATTTGATTCAATATGTGTGGCACAATTGATAAAATAACATGCATGCTTTACAAAAATACCCTCCATCACCCCACATGATTTAGTGGTTCACAAACCTTTTAGACTTGTGTACCCCCTGAGCTATTTTGTCATACCACTAGAACCCCCTCAGTCAAATGTAATGATGATTCTACAAAACTACAATGTACATCTGATCTGATTATTAAATGAAAACTATTATTCGACCCCCTTAACTTGAGTTGTTATTTTGTTTTGTCAATTTCGTCTGCATTTTCCAAATTGAAGAAATCATAGGGCCCTACATATCCCAGGCCTATTTTTATTATTTTTTTACACACTTGGGCAATTTTTCCACTCCCCCCCCMCGAAATATGCTTGCGTACCACTAGGGGTACACGTACCCCTGGTTGGGAATCACTGATTTAATATATTAACAAGGAAAATAGATCATAGTTGCCATATTTTGTTTCTCTAAAATGAGACTGGGGACTCGGCATTATTGCTTAGATTACCATTAATTGGCAGCATGATGGATCAGTGGTTGACACTGTTGCCTCACAGCAATAAATTCCTGGATTCAAGCTCCAAATTGGGCCTGGGGTCTTTCTGTTTGGTGTTTACGTGATCGGCTGGAAACATGCATGTTCAGGGATCAGATCTGCCACCTTCTGCAGCAAAGCCTTTCCTTTACCGTCAGCTGCAAAACACACAAACACCTATAGTTTTTGGATGTATGACGTCTTTCAGGACAGACCTGTGGCTCTCTCTGCCTTAGCTTGTCATTAATTGGAGTTAAATCCAACGTCATACAATAAACGGTTGTTTTACCTGTAATGGTCCAGAAAATAATTCATGACTGAGCTGCCAGAATGTTACCCTTAGCTTGTAAACAAAACCAACAGATAAGTAGACATTCCACTGATTAGAGAAACAGAAACAATCAATTGTGCAACAAAGTTTAAATTAAAGTATTAAAATTGAGAAACTAGCCAGAATTCATACCTGTTTTTATCAATTTCCTCCCCTTCATCATAACAATCTATTCTTTGCTTTAAACTACATTAAAAAACAAGCATCTGTTTCCCTTTAAAAAATGTTTTTGTATTGYCTTGTCTGAGGGATTATATTCTAAAGCCCCTTCTTAAAACCAGAATCATGTCTTTATTACAACAACGCTGCCCACGTCTATATTTATTCCTTAAACTGCATGAGTCAAACGTTGCTTCATTATGTCCAGCAGCTMTGAGGTCTCCTGCTGCGATCTGTTGCCCTTTTTGTTGTTGACGCCACAGGGTTCACCAAGGCTACGTTCACACTGCAGACAAATCCGACCCAAATCCGATTTTTTTTTTGACCCATCTGACTC